GCTGTCTAATGGATGAAGATAAGAACATTAGTAAATGTCAGAGAGCGTACAGTATGTTCTGTATTTGTTTGTTCCAGATGTAATGCTTTCCAGGCTAATCAACAAAGCTCCAGTTCTGGTGGTAAAGAAAAAAGGATTTATCTTCTGCACCCCCACACGCTTAATATAAAGGAGCCATGTACTGCAAGTCTGACAACCTACAAGTACATTTATTAGATGAAAATGGACAGGCCTTTGTGTATGTGTACACACACACACACACACACACACACACACACACACACACACACACACATATTTTAAATGTACAGTGCAACAGTCAGCAGAGCAGAAATGATTACCTTTTAAGAGGAGGATATGTTAATGGTGTTGCTCTTGACATGCCTCTAGGTTTTATTCTGCTCACTAAATTAGTCTTGTCTCAAAAAAACAGTAAAGACAATTGTGTAAGAGTTTACAATTGCATCCTGCTGCATGCAATTTGTAGTACCATGCAGGTAGAAAGACTTGTAATTGTCAGACTATTACACTGTTAAATGTAATCCAAAATAAATTCAATCTTGTAACTGCACAACAGAGTAATTAAGCTGTTGTCAGGGAAAAATGACATTTAAATGAACAGCTGGCTACACCTGATGCCTTCTTGAATGTGTTCTTCTGTCCACTGTCTAGGCAGGGCCGCCATGTAGTTTCTGAAAGCTAAAGGCTGAATGCAAATATACAGTATAATTAAAATAAATATATACAGTCAGGTCCATAAATATTGGGACATCGACACAATTCTAACATTTTTGGCTCTATAAACCACCACAATGGATTTGAAATGAAATGAACAAGGTGTGCTTTAACTGCAGACTGTCAGCTTTAATTTGAGGGTATTTACATCCAAATCAGGGGAACGGTGTAGGAATTACAACAGTTTGTATATGTGCCTCCCACTTGTTAAGGGACCAAAAGTAATGGGACAATTGGCTTCTCAGCTGTTCCATGGCCAGGTGTGTGTTATTCCCTCATTATCCCAATTACAATCAGCAGATAAAAGGTCCAGAGTTCATTTCAAGTGTGCTATTTGCATTTGGAATTTGTTACTGTCAACTGTCAAGATGAGATCCAAAGAGCTGTCACTATCAGTGAAGCAAGCCATCATTAGGCTGAAAAAAAACAAAACAAACCCATCAGAGAGATAGCAAAAACATTAGGCGTGGCCAAAACAACTGTTTGGAACATTCTTAAAAAGAAGGAACGCACCGGTGAGCTCAGCAACACCAAAAGACCCGGAAGACCACGGAAAACCACGGAAAACAACTGTGGTGGATGACCGAAGAATTCTTTCCCTGGTGAAGAAAACACCCTTCACAACAGTTGGCCAGATCAAGAACACTCTCCAGGAGGTAGGTGTATGTGTGTCAAAGTCAACAATCAAGAAAAGACTTCACCAGAGTGAATACAGAGGGTTCACCACAAGATGTAAACCATTGGTGAGCCTCAAAAACAGGAAGGCCAGATTAGAGTTTGCCAAACGACATCTAAAAAGCCTTCACAGTTGTGGAACAACATCCTATGGACAGATGAGACCAAGATCAACTTGTACCAGAGTGACGGGAAGAGAAGAGTATGGAGAAGGAAAGGAACTGCTCATGATCCTAAGCATACCACCTCATCAGTGAAGCATGGTGGTGGTAGTGTCATGGCGTGGGCATGTATAGCTGCCAATTGAACTGGTTCTCTTGTATTTATTGATGATGTGACTGCTGACAAAGGCAGCAGGATGAATTTTGAAGTGTTTCGGGCAATATTATCTGCTCATATTCAGCCAAATGCTTCACAACTCATTGGACGCCGCTTCACAGTGCAGATGGACAATGACCCAAAGCATACTGCAAAAGCAACCAAAGAGTTTTTTAAGGGAAAGAAGTGGCATGTTATGCAATGGCCAAGTCAATCACTTGACCTGAATCCGATTGAGCATGCATTTCACTTGTTGAAGACAAAACTGAAGGGAAAATGCCCCAAGAACAAGCAAGAACTGAAGACAGTTGCAGTAGAGGCCTGGCAGAGCATCACCAGGGATGAAACCCAACGTCTGGTGATGTCTATGCGTTCCAGACTTCAGGCTGAAATTGACTGCAAAGGATTTGCAACCAAGTATTAAAAAGTGAAAGTTTGATTTATGATTATTATTCTGTCCCATTACTTTTGGTCCCTTAACAAGTGGGAGGCACATATGCAAACTGTTGTAATTCCTACACCGTTCACCTGATTTGGATGTAAATACCCTCAAATTAAAGCTGACAGTCTGCAGTTAAAGCACATCTTGTTTGTTTCATTTCAAATCCATTGTGGTGGTGTATAGAGCCAAAAATGTTAGAATTGTGTCGATGTCCCAATATTTATGGACCTGACTGTATGTATATATATATATATATATATATATATATATATACACACACACAGTGCCTTGAAAAAGTATTCATACCCCTTGAAATTTTCCACATGTGTCATGTTACAACCAAAAACATAAATGTATTTTATGTGATAGACCAACACAAATGGCACAGAATTGTGAGGTGGAAGGCAAAAGATAAATGGTTTTCAACATATAAATATCTGAAAAGTGTGGTGTGCATTTGTATTCAGCCCCACTGAGTCAATACTTTGCAGAACCACCTTTCACTGCAATTACAGCTGCAAGTCTTTTTTGTCTTTTTAGGTATGTCTCTACTAGCTTTGTACATCTCGAGAGTGACATTTTTGCCCATTCTTTGCAGAAAATCTCCAGCTCTGTCTGATTGGATGGATGGAGAGAGTCTGTGAACAGCAGTTTTCAAGTCTTGCCACAGATTCTCAATTGGATGTAGGTTTGGACTTTGACTGGGCCATTCTAACACTAAATATGCTTTGATCTAAACCATTTCATTGTAGTTCTGGCTGTATGTTTAGGGTCGTTGTCCTGCTGGAAGGTGAACCTCCGCCCCAGTCTCAAGTCTTTTGCAGACCCAACTCTGACCAGCTTCCCTGTCTTTCGCAGACACTATTATTATTATTATACAGGATTTATATAGTGCCAACAGTTTGCACAGTGCTTTACAAATTGAAGGTACCCATTACAGTTACAATACAATTTGGTACAAGAGAAAACAGAGGGCCCTGCTCGTTAGAGCTTACAATCACTAACAGATTTTCTTCTAAAATTGCCCTGTATTTGGCTCTATCCATCTTTCCATCAACTCTGACCAGCTTCCCTGTCCCTGCTGAAGAAAAAGCATCACAACATGATGCTGCCATCAACATGTTTCACAGTGGGGATGGTGTGTTAAGGGTGATGTGCAGTGTTAGTCTTCCGCCACATATAGCGTTTTCCTTTTAGGCCAAAAAGTTCACTTTTGGTCTAATCTGACCAGAGCATCTTCTTCCACATGTTTGCAGTGTCCCCCACATGGCTTCTCGCAAACTGCAAACAGGACTTCTTATGGCTTTCTTACAACATTGGCTTTCTTCTTGCCACTCTTCCATAAAGGCAAGATTTGTGGCGTGCACAACTAATAGTTGTCCTGTGGACAGATTCTCCTACCTTAGCTGTGCATCTCTGCAGTTACTCCAGAGCTACCATGGGCCTCTTGGCTGTTTCTCTGACTAATGCTCTCCTTGCCTGACCTGTCAGTTTAGGTGGACAGCCATGTCTTGGTAGGTTTGCAGTTGTGCCATACTCTTTTCATTTTCGGATGATGGATTGAACAGTATATGTGTTGGTCTATCACTTAAAATCCCAATAGATTACAGTTACGATTTTGGTTTGTAACATGACAAAATGTGGGGCATGAATACTTTTTCAAGGTACTGTGTGTATGTGTATATATATATATATATTTTTTTCTTATATGTCATGGTCTATTTCACAACAGAATATAAAACAAAACATATAGACTTTCAATACCCAGTGCAAACAATGAGGTACAACTGCTACTAGCAAACAGATGAGAGCATTAATTCATTGCAAGTTGTCACATTAGTTTTTGGCATCATTATAGTTAGCATTGCTTACTATCTATTTTACTATTCTGCTTTCTGCATCTTTATTGTGCAACCTCACTGTAACTGTACTACATAAAAACATAGGGAAATAATTGTAATTCCCCCCCCCCCCCCCCCAAACACACACATTATATAAAAAAAAAATAAAAAAAAAAAAATATATATATATATATATATATATATATATATATATATATATATCTCTACCTTTGTGAAACCACTTTGCTTCTAAACAATGACTTTGGGGTAAATTTTACATACACACACACACATATATATATATATATACACATATGCATACATACACACACAAACACACAATATTGCCAAAAGTATTGGGTCGCCTGCCTTTCCACTCATGTGAACTTTTAATGGCATCCCAGTCTTAATTCGCAGGGTTCAAGATTGAGTTGGCCCATCCTTTGCAGCTATAACAGCTTCAACTCTTCTGGGAAGGCTGTCCACAAGGTTTAGGAGTGTATCTATGGGAATGTTTCACCATTCTTCCAGAAGTGCATTTGTGAGGTCAGGCACTGATGTCAAATGAGAAGGCTTGGCTCGCAGTCTCCGCTCTAATCATCCCAAAGGTGTTCAATCAGGTTGAGGTCAGACAAGTTCCTCCACCCCAAACTCGCTCATCCATGTCTTTATGGACCTTGCTTTGTGCACTGGTGCCCAGTCATGTTGGAACAGAAAGGGTATTCTGACGCCTTAAGAGTTCCCTTCACTGGAAGTAAGGGGAAAAGTCCAACCCCTGAAAAACAACCCCACACCATAATCCCCCCTCCACCAAACTTCACACTTGGCACAATGCAGTCAGGCAAGTACTGTTTTCCTGGCAAGCGCCAAACCCAGACACACCCAACGGAGATTTGTCACTCCAGAGAACGTCTCCACTACTCTAGAGTCCAGCGGTGGTGTGCTTTACACCACTGAATCCAATGCTTTGCATTGCACTTGCTCATGTAAGGCTTGGATGCAGCTGCTCGGCCATGGAACCCCATTCCTTGAAGCGCTCTACGCACTGTTGTACTAAACTGAAGGTCACTGAAGTTTGGAGGTCTTAAGCTATTGACTCTGCAGACAGTTGCTGACTTCTGCGCACTGTACGCTTCAGCATGTGCTGACCCCGCTCTGTCATTTTACATGGCCTACCACTTTGCGGCGTTGTGTGGAGTTGCTGCTGTTCCTAGTTTCTTCCACTTTGTTATAATACCATTAACAGTTGACCATGGAATATTTAGTAGCAAGAAAATTTCACGGATGGACTTATTGCACAGGTGGCAACCTATCACAGTACCACGCTTGCATTCACTGAGCTCCTGACAGCGACCCATTCTTTCACAAATGTTTGTAGAAGCAGTCTGTATGCCTAGGTGCTTAATTTTATACACCTCTGGACATGGAGGTGATTGGAACACCTGAATCCAATGATTTGGAGGGGTGTCCCAATACTTTGGTAATATAGTGTATCTTAACAGGGAAGCGAGGAATTCTACTTTTCAGATCATGGAATCAGATGATAACTTGTAATAACCTGTAGGAGTCCTCAGGAAGTAAAAAAAGGGAATCTGATTGCGTAAAAAGAGGTAGCAGCTGAGTGGTAAACGTTCATATCCCACATCAAAACAGTGAAAAGAAACTTCCTTGGGATGCATCAGACCAGGACATAAAGATGGAAGGATGTCTTGGTTGAGGTGGAAAGATAATGCCTAATAGGTTCAAACCTCCGAAGGGCTGAGAGAACAAGATTAAATTATATGTAAATCCTCACCTTGCAGAACAACACATTCAGTTTAAAATAGAAATAAAAGGAAATCTTTTTTTGTATAGATTAAAAATTATAAACACTTTTCCCCTTTTTTTACGAGCTGGGGGAGGAGGAATGGCAGAACACTGATCTTCCCAGTAAACAGTGAAAGGCTGTGGGGGGGGATGTCAGGGCAAGTCTGATCATTAGAGGAGAGCACATTGAGTTTCCAGCATAGCCAGAGAACTAACCACGGTGTGTTCTCTTGCTTAGTGTGGTCAGTTTTATTAGGAAAGCAGAGGTACTGACAGGAACACCAGTGATTTCACACAAAGGAAGTAATACAAAGAGAACAGCATTTCTTTTTATACAAATACATGGTACAGCAGGCACATAACAGGAATATGAAATGCTGGGTTCACATACTCTTTAAAGGTCCCATGGAAACAAAAGGGAGCATATACTCCCTTACATAAGGGAGAGGATGATATACTGTTCTATGTGACTGATCCGTTGATATCCCTCCCCAACATTATGCCTGAATTGCATGGATTTCATCAACTCTCTAATTTTAAAATTAACTATGGCAAATCGGACATATTGCCGCTTTCTATCCCTGACGGTATGCGTACACAGCTGCAAGCCTCCTTTCCCTTCACTTGGTGCCAGACCTCTTTGAAATATTTAGGTATCTACCTTCCAGGCCATTGCTTACAACTGTACTCCTGTAATTATGTCCCGTAGCTTAACACTATACATACAGACCATGCCAATTAGGATCGGGCCTGGTTTTCTTGGATGGGCCATGTAAACATATTGAAAAATGAATATCTTGCCTAGGATCCTCTTCTATTTACAAATGGAACCTATCTTCTTGCCCAGATCTTTCTTTTTGAGCCTCAAAAGCCTCCTCATATGCTGTGTCTGGAATAAGCTCCGCCCTTGCCTGGAATTTCATGTTTTGAAGTGCCATAAATGGATGGATGGCTTGGGCATCCTGGCCATTCGCTGAAATTATGAGGCCATGGCACTACAGAGAATATTAGATTGGCACCATCATGTGAAAGATAAACTCTGGGGTCCCTCTGAAGAAGTTTTTAGCTATCCATTATTTATCTCGTGCCCCATGGATAGATCGCTCATTCGGGGATTGCTGATTCCAACTCTCCCACCACCATCCACACACTAAATTTATGGGATATGTTAAACAGACAAGGGCAATTGTCGACTCCAGTTTCCCCTCTTGCCCCCTTAAAGGGCTTCCCCTAATTTGAACCTGGAGAACACCTGTCCTTCAAGTTGTGGGCGGTGGACAGAGAGGTGCGCTGTGTTAGGTTTGTTCAGGAACAGGGTTTACTTTGCCTGGACACATTATGAGAGCAGTATGGGTGCTTCCCAATGGATGCCTGGTGGTATAGACAGCTTTGTATTGATCTCTAACGAAACAGTGACTGGAATCCCCCTTAGGGAATAATAATGTGAAAAAATAGTGGAACAAACAACAAACAGTGTCTAGAATCCCCGTTAGGGAACTATAATGTGAAAAATAATGGAACGGAAAACCAACAAAATGTGATCCAATAATGAATAAATAACACAAGTGAATAACCACAATGCAATGTATTGATATATAGTGAAAACACACCTGTGATCCCAGCACTGGGAGATAAATCCTGTACAAAAAAGTGACAAACCAGTGCTCCGTGTCTAAATACTCAAATCAAATACCAAATATAAAAATATAAACCCCTAAAATATAATTGATCCAATATTATACAAAATAGTGAAAAAATGTATATATATATATATAAATAAATCTCCTAAAAATATATAAATCTAATCTGAAGATACGTGACACCAGTGTCCACAAAAATAAGTAGAAAACATGCAGGTGATTCTTGTGCGTTGTAGCCTCTGGTGATGATTCCACATACAGTAAGATTGGCTCCTCACCTCCTTACCGTGATCCTAAAAGGGCCTACACGCCTTTGTGATCACTCCTGGATCCACCCAGATCAAATCATATCCTCCAGACAATTTCAAAGCAGAAGAAACAGACCAAGACCAGCTTGATATTCCCTTTAAAATGGCTCTAATCAATAAGACCAGCTCCCACATGATCCATAAAGAAAAAAACCTCCATAGCATGATACCGTTTATTATGCAATCAATATAGATATAATCAAAGCACTCACAGTGTTATGCATCTTGTACATAGCCTTAGAACCTCATGTGATGGGTGTACTTTCATGGGTTCTTTTGAAAGTCCAAAGATGGCGTCCGCGCCGGAAGTTGTGTCACCGCTCACGTGACTTCATCAGGGTCTGACCCAATCCCTCACTCAATCCCTCAATTGATGCCTCAATCCCTCACTCCCTTTCGATGTTGTATAAACTGCTCCATCCGGAGTAACCAGTCGAGAAACCTTTATAAGTACAGGAATGGGAAAGAGACTTGCAGTATAGCGTTTCAGAAACCCAACTTGACCACTGGTATCACTTAACCCATACTAGCTCCGTTGACACAAAGATGCAAGAAAACAGCTTTAAATTGCTTACTCAATGGTACAGAGCTCCCTCAAAACTGACTAAGCTTTATCCCTCTTTGTCTGGCTTATGCTGGAGAGATTGTGGTCACCAGGGTCTTTCCTTCATATTTGTCCCTTTCGGCAAGATATTAGTGCTCAAATTAAGCAGATCCTTGATATTGTTGTTCCTGACCACCCCCCCCCCCCCCCCCCCCGCAGTTCCTACACCATGTGCCCAACATTCCTCTCAACACTATAAGAAAAGTGTTCTACCGCATCTACTGTACTCAGCATGGCACTTAATTCCAATGTTTTGGAAAGGGCCACAGGTCCCTGCTCAAGCCGAGTGGATTAAGTTGGTGAATAATGTGATGGAGGTGGAGGAATGGATGGCTACATGCAAGGATCAATATAGCAAGTTTTACACCTTCTGGGCCATGTGGATTTATTACACTTCAGGAACTTCAAGGACTTCGCAATCCCTCTCACAGGGCTCTCTCAAACGTAAATGGTGAAGGTGTGGGGATCTACCACAGTTTTTTACTCCTAGGCCCTTTTTAATGCACTATTATGTACATGAACTTATATGGCATTTGAACCCATGCCTTTTCTTGGTTAGACTTGCTGGTTAGCCTACCATGTACAGTCCTTACACTAACAGAGCGACAGTGAGGGTGTTTTCTTTTCTTTATATGGTACTGCCTTCTATTTTGTAAATGAAAACCTGTGTCTGAAAATAAAGACTACTTAAAAAAAAAAAAAAAAGCCTTTTTTTAGACTTTGTGAGAACTTGATTTCCTAGCCTTCAGACGAGTAGGTTTGACTGTGTCCGGTAGGCTCCTGTCTCTTAGGACTGTGGCTTCAACAGCCAAGCCATTAAAGCCAGAGACCGAGAAACAGGATAGCACATTTGCTCTTGTGACAGAAGATCATGATGATCTGAGAGGGCCTACAGATTGTCTGCCAGATGCCTGACTACATCTGAGTACTACATCTTTCTGAGACAGTTCAGTGCAGTAAGAATCGCTTGAATGCTCTCCATCTTGACCCTTGAAGGAGCTGACAAAGGAGAATCCGGAGGGGTGGAAAGGCAGAGAGCAGCCTGAGCTGATCCCATGGCATCACCAGTGTTCATTGCAATTGCCTGATTATCCATGCACCTTGACGTGCAGCTTGACGAGAGCTTTAAAGAGCGCCTCTACCCTCTTGTATACTGGGTTCTTGAACACAGGATTATCCACCACGGAGGCCGTGTGGGTCACGTTAAGACAAAACTGTCAGGATCTACTACAGGGACTGCTCACTTTCATAGGAAACTTTCTTCAATAGTACTGTATAGGGCTAAGCAAAGCATTTTGGAGGAGTAAAAATCTCTGGATGAGCCCAGTTCCAACATAGGACAGGCTCCACCAGCGAGTGGACTTGGAAAGTCTTAGCTGGACTTGGCAATTTAAGGGTGTGATGAAGGCGGTGCCCAGCTCCTGCCCTTCTCACCAACTTGTGACAAGAGACTGGCCAATCTCACACCGCACTGTCACTCACATAACAAAAAAAGAAAAAGGCTGGGGAGTCCCAACAAAATTGCAAAATATGGTGAGGTGCCACCAGATGTACCTGGCAGGATGTTGCCTAAGAACAATTCATGAAAACCAAAAGAAAAAAAGAAAATAGGCTACACACCTATAAGACTTTGCTCAAACCAATGTTTATTATATAACGATATATCATAAAATAGTAAAAAACACATTGCATCAGAGATACCAATCTCGACCATGTCCCCCCCCCCCCCCCCCCCCCCCCTACAAGATGAGCACCCCCAAGAATGGCATGCAAGGTAGGTGCCTAATCCGCCAATGCGAGGCCTGCTTAGACCTGAAGAAGGGGACATTCCCCGAAAGCTTGTCCTCAAAATTGTATGTTAGTGCAAATAAAAAAAGTATCACGGACAGTACTCAATTGTTCCTGTCGCAAATGCACTAATACGGCTACAATCACCTCAAGCAGAACCTCG